GGCAGAAACTTGCCACTAGCTAACCATAGAGGTCTGGATGTCTGTACAGACAGACCCGAAGTGATGTAGCCGGGCAGAATCAGGATATAAGCAGGGACAAACAGGAAATCGATCTCTTCTCTGCTGAGATGCTTAGCAGTTACCTGTAAGCTGCCAAAGGAGTTAGAGGTCTGAATCCTTCTCCGGTAAGATAAGACCACGTGGAAACACTTAGATTAATAGAAATGGGTTTATAATTAAGACAGAGCTGGCAATACCCAAGCCACTGATCAGATCAACAGTTTCATAATTAATATCGTGTCAGTGTGTTTATTTGGAGCTCAAGGTCTGTGGGACCAGCCGGGACAAAGAAAGCTCATGTCACAGCACTAAATATTTATTTAATTTTTTGAGGGATTCATACTAGTGGTTAAATAGCACACCTGGGAGATTTAGAAAAAAGAGAAGAAATAATACCCAAAGGGAAAAGATGGTAAGATAGCATCAAAATCATCAATTATTGATAAGAAATTTAAGAACATATTACAAGATGGAAAGATCTCCTACACTCATGGATCAGTAGGATTCATATGTTGAAAATGGTCATCCTACCAAAAGCAATCTACAGAGTCATTGCTGTTCCCATCAATATTCCAACACAATTCTTCACAGATCTTGAAAACCTTTTCAGTATTTCTAATCTGACCAAAAGCACGGACTAAGGGAAACTCAAGTCTTGTGAGTCATAGAACATATTCTTACTGCCCAATAAACAGCAAGAATTCTGTTATGTTTCATAAATACTATTTATTATTTTCATTTTAATGATTGTATTTTTATTAGTAGAGTTGGTAAAAGAACTGGCAACTGAGGAATGCTGAGAATAAGAGAGCATTTCCCAGGGAAGAGCCCAACAATTGGGTACCCAATGTCAGAGTTCAGACCTGAAAACATATATACAATTAGCATTATATAGACTAAGTAGGTTGTTCTTATGTAATTTAGAATACATGTAATAACATTTTTATTGAAAGATCAAGCTATGAATTGGAAAAGATCACGGAGAGGTATATGGCATGTTTGTATGGAGGGAAGGGAATGGGGAAATTATGTAATTATTGTTGTGTCCAAATTCTGAACCCCCAAATCACCAAGAGACCCAATCCAATGCAAAAGCAGAGTCTTTAGTTAATTAATGAGTTAACTGCATTAACTTGGTTCCTCCATTTGTCTGACACAGTGGGTGGAGCAAGAAGGACCTGGAGGGACCATGTGGCAGGGAATTTATTGGGGTAGAGCAAGGGGAGTGTCTGGGGTCTGCAACAGTCTCAGGATTTGTGCACTTCTGAGCTTGGGCAACCTGTCCTGTGCTGATTGGCCAGCTGCAGCTGCAAGTAGGTTGCTATGGCCTATAGGCCTTCCCAGGGAGGCTGCTATGCTCTGCACTCCACTGTTACTATAAAGCCCATCCAGAGCCCACCAGCTAACTTTTGATTGGTTCCTTGACACATGGAGGGTATCTGCCTTCCTAGTGACTGGGGCAAGATCTGGCAAGGTCGGAAGCTCAGCACATGTTGCTGAGTCAGAGGCCTACCTCTTGTTGGGTCTTTTCTGCAGCCTGTTATAGCTGCCAAAACAGGGGGCTGGGTGAGGGTCTGGACCCTTCAATTATAATCTCAAAAAACAAAAGATGCAGAGAAACAAATGTATGTCACTATTACTGGTGCGTAATTTTCAGAAAAATACATGCATTGTTTCAAAGTAAAAAGGATTTAGATCAGTATGTGTTCATTGAAAACACAGATACAATAAATGTCTGGAACTTATCCTGGCATTTTAGCTCAGCACAATGTCCCAAAGACCCCTGCCCTGTGCACTAGTGGTTGCTTCTTTGTTCTGCTGAGCATGTCCTATGTGTAAGACTTTCAGTTTTATTATCCACTCACCCATAGATGTCATTTGAGTTGTTCTCAGTTTAAAGATGAATAAAGCCTTTTAGTATTTAAAAAAAATAAAAGAGGTTCATAGTACAGGTGTCATGCAGTCAAACAGAATGAGGGGCCATCTCTTTGCACTGAATGCAATTTTTACTTGTCAAATTCATGTGAATTAAAATCATTGAATTCCAGAAATTTTCAAATAGACTTTCAGATCATTGCTGATAGAAGGCACCTGAAGCCCTAGAAACAACGCTTAATCGAAGATGGAATATTGAATCCATGATGGTAAAACTGACTGGGGCTTCCTCCTAGAACACCATCCCACAGTCAGGCATTCCTTCAAGCAGAGTTATGTGTTAACACATAAACATTTCCTTCACACAAATAGAAAGAAACCAGAATACTGAGTGTTAAATGAAGCTTTATTTTAAAGACACAGATTTGTATATTCGTATTTTAAAGTTAAATCTAAAAATCATTCTGAGAATCATTAATATAAAGGAGTTGAGAGCATGGGTTAAAGGCTTCGTAGGGTTTTTTTTGTCTTGTTTTGTTTTGCTTTGCTTTGCTTTAGGGTGAACATGCCTTGGAGTTCACACCACAGTGTGGCTCTTAGGGGATTTGAGTGTTGGATCCTGTGATGGGGAGGCTCCTTGCTGTTTCGGCTCCCCTCCCCCAGTTCAGACCTTCTTTTCACCATCATGCATCTCACATCTTGGGGCAGAAGTCTCTGAGACAAAGGTACAGTGGTTGCTTCACTCCTTGGCTAACTTTATGTTGCCATCCGTGTTGCCTCTGCTAGAAGCAAAGCACATGTTGCATTAGTCAGGAAGAATGCAGCAAGGCGGCTTTGTCATAATATCCACCCCCCCCAACCACAACATCTGTCCTGCAATGGCACTAGCCATGTTTAAAGTTCAACAAGCAGTACAAGAAGAAAAGTTTGTCACTTACAACCAAATATCAACTCTAGCCACAATCCACCCAGCAGAACACTTAGGCTAATAGTGAACTGTGTGTTGTTCCACAGCTGACTTAAGTGAGAACTTCTCTTCTTTCTTTACTCCCTAGTGGGCAGTTGAGTGTGGGATTATGACACCTTCATACCTAATCCTGTACAGGAGTCACGTCATCGCTCCTTGACAAATCCTCAAGTTTAGGGTCGTCATCACCAGCTGGCTGGTCTTTTTCCTCCTCTCCAAACATTGGGAACAAAATTTTATCCATCAAATTCTTGAACTCAGCATCAGTCTTCGTGAAAAAAAAATCAAACAGAATATTGAAAACCATCAGACTAACTGTAAAAATGTGAAGTGAAGAAACATGGAGTTAAGCCATCTAAGCCACACTCACCAAGTCATTAAAGTCTTCCATTTCTATGTTGAAGCTATCAGTATTCTGGTCATTTTCCTTATTGGAGAGTTCAATAAAGCAAATAAGACATTGAAAGCCAATAGACTAACTGTAAAAATGTGAAGTGAAGAAACATAGAGTTAAGCCATCTAAGCCACACTCACAAAATCATCAATGTCTTCCATTTCTGTGTTGAGGCTGTCATTCTTTTGGGCATTCTTCTTATAGTAGAGTTCAACCTTCTTCATAAATTCCTCCCATATCTGCCTTCTGTATCCTTCTCTATCCTAGAAATAACATAAGTGACAGTATTTCCTTCATATTAACTCCACACACACGCTGACCAAGTAGACTTGCTGTGACAGACAAGAGAAGCCCTGGGATCTCAGAAGGCCACAGCCAACCACTCTCCACACCCTGCGTTTCAGCACTTCAGGCACATGGTGTTCATAGCACACAACTTTAAGCAGTTCCTTAGTGACAGTTGACCCCTATGACCTCGCTTATGCTTCAGTGCTCCTATCTGCAGTGACTAGTCCTTCTGAGATCTTTGTGGACAGCTCCCATATTACCAACCTGCTCATTTTTTATTGGCTGGTCTTCATGTTCTGCATCCAGGATGGGCTCAGAGGATTCAGCAGCTGAGGTAACTGCCAAGCACAGGATGGCCAGGAAGACAGCAGGAGTCATGTTTCAAGCACCTGCATGAAAAAGGGAGAAATCCCAGTCTGTATTCTTCAAAGTTACTAAATTGTTTCTTTCTTTACTGACAAACTGGAGCACTAGTGGTGGATCAAGACTGATTGAATAATCCCAAGTATCTATCTAAGCAAAGTGGAAAAAGCTAAGGGTGTGACTTGTTTGAAGAAAACATATGGAGGTATTTGTAGGGTCACCAACATGAATCGATGCTTGTGGGATGGATGGAAACAGTAGGTAGTGTGAGCTTCAGTTATCAGGCAGATGTTTGTCTACCCCATGATTCCAAAAGTTAAAGCTATAACTAAGGAAGTAAGGCAGAGTAAGCCTACGACTTGAAGAGAGTGAAAGAACTTCAAGAGCTGAGGGACACTGGTGCCTTCCAGCTCATTACATAGCAGGAGTTACCCTATGTCTTGGACCCTCCCCTCTTTGTAATAACAGTGTAGCCTCTCCTCTCTAGAGAACCTAGGAAAGACAACATCTACTCATCCCTGTGACACACAGCTGTCACTGTGCCTCCTGAGTCTCTGCTCACTGCTTCAAAAAAGGAAGGGATTCACAAGGATTCACACTAGAAGCCAGAGCAACTAGGTGAATGGAGTTGGGAGGAGAGAATTCTCAAGACACTCAGCTCAAGATTTCCCAGACTTCCATTGAACTTCCCCAGAAGATGCCAGGTTAGGGGCACGCTGCTTGGTGTTCCTTCTGAGCAGGCAAGAAGAGATCTGACTTGATCTCTTGATATGGAAAAGGTGATCTTAACTGAACGGGATGCACTGGGCATGGCCATTGTGCAGGGTACCAACTGTCATTCCCTGTGACCAGGCTCACTCTTGTACTCATAGGGATCAAGCACAAAGTTGGATACCTGAGGGGCCTGGTTGGCTCTTTCACTCCTCCATCCATCCTCCTCTGCTTCTCTACCAGGGTCCCCATGGTGAGATTTTCTCATTCATAATAGGTCTGCCTCATTCTCCAGGGAATCTCTCTAGGGCTCTCCTCCACTTCCCGATCTGCTTTGGCAGAGCCAGGGCCTCACCTGAGATGTTCAGTGCTGTCCTTGTGCACTCCACAGACTCAGCTCTTCAATGGTTCCTGGGGATCCAGAATTGAGCCCAGCTGCACAGGATTCAGTCTTTAAATCTCTAAATTCTGGCTTGGAAGCCCCACCCAACAATTCTAACTTCTTTATGATTGGATGTGTTGGTGACAGCATTGGGCCCCAGGGTCTTTGACTCCAGGTGTTTACAGAAATCTGACTTCACCTTGTCCTAGAGGATGGAGTGTTGTCACAGGGGACTGGGGGGGTGTAGGATATGCAAAGGCCCCTTTTCAAAGAATGTAGAGAATGAGTCTTGAAGCCTGGGATCATTTAGTACCTTGCTTTTGTGCTTTGTTTAAGAAAAAAGTGTTTCCAGGTTGTTTTGAATAGATTTTCAACCTAACTATGGTTTTAACTTTGAATAAGAAACACCCTGGAGTAGGATGAGTCAGTGTATTCAAGTTTAATGTCTCCTGGTGAGAATGCAGACCCTAGGATACTTCCTTAGTTTCTGAGTTGAATCTGGGTGGGTTTCACACACACACACACACACAAAAAAAAAAAAATAGGGGAGGGGCTAGAAAGATGACTCTGTAGTTAAGAGTACTTTCTGGTCTTGCAGAAGACCCAAGTTTAGCACCCTGGACCTACTTGGGGCTCCCAACAATCTTTAACTCTAGTCCCAGGGAATCCAATACTCTCTTCTTATCTCTTTGAACATGAGACACAAAAAATAGTGCAGGTAAATGTGCATACACACAAAACAACATTAAATAAAAGTTTTTAAGAGAAGAGAATAGTTAGGAGAAGGCTGTCTTGAAACAGAGAGGAGAGAGTCAAGGGAAAACCTTTGGGTGTGACAGGGGATGGAAAGACTGGAGGAAGTTCTCCTATGACGCCTCCACTAGTTATACATCCTGCCCAGTCTCTTTCTCAGAGATACTTGTACCTCTCATTTATTTTGCAACCAATTTTTATTTTACCAACCAATTCATGATATATGATTCAGTTACTGAAAGGCCGTTTTAATAAGTGGAAAAGAATAAATGAGAAATGAGGAAAAATTTTCATTTGCTCTCTTTGGGTTTTGCTGTATGGAAAACCAGTGTCCACCTTGAGATTTAAGTTTAATATACTTCATGAACCTCAGTGTTAAAATGTGAGATAAAGATAACTCAAGGATGTTTTAGGTAGAAGAGAACATAGGTACATAATAGTAACTACTAACTGCTACAATCCAGGACTTAAGAACAGAGTTCACCAGGAGAACAAGGCCCACTGAATCAACTAAGCAGGGCTTACATGGGCTCACAGAGACTGAAGAGGCAAACATAGGGCCTGCACGGGTCTGTGTCATGTGCTCTACATATGTTATGGCTGTTAGCTTGGTGTTTTTGTGGGACTTCTATGAGTGAGAGCAGGTGTATCTCTGACTCTTTTCCTCCTATTGGGTTGCCTTGTCCAGTCTCAATATGAGACCCAATAGTAGTATGAGAAAACTGACTCCTGTGTGTTTTCCTTTACCTCCATACACACACCCTCCCCCAAATTTAAAACACACAAACAAAAATAATGTTCCTTAAATACAATAAATTAGGTCCCAATATCATGTGTCCAACTTTCTTACTTTTTAAGGATATATAATATTTATTCCACAGTGTAGCAGTTTGAATGAGAGGTCCCCGTATTCTTGGACATCTATGTATTTTTTCCCTTCTTGGTGCCACTGTTTTGGGTAGATTTAGGAGCTCTGACATTGCTGGGGGAAATATGTCACCAAGTGTGGGCTTTGGGCATCCAAAAGCCAGGCACTTATTTCTGGTGTGCTCTCTGCTTCTGTTTATGTTTTGAGATGTGAGCTCTCAGCCACTGCTCCAGCTGTCATATTAGCTACCACTGCCATGCTGCCCCCTTATTATGAACCCTAATCCTCTAGAATCATAAGCCCCAAATAAACCATTTCTTCTCTAAAATGCCCTGGCAATGTTGTTTTGTTACATCAATAGAATACTAACTTATACACATAGAGACACCATTTTTTTTCTGTACATTGTTTCATGAATATGTTTCTCTGACAAGTGGGCAAAGAAGATACAACACTTGTCTCCCCTACACTACTAAATGTGGACAAAGTCTAAATTTAACCCACAGAATTTTTACTGCAAGAAAAGCAGTTATGGATGCACAAGCAAGAGAAAATAAGCCATTACTGTTGCTATAAGTCATTGGGATGCCCATTTATACAGAAAATCTGATAAACTGTACTCAACTCATCTTAGTTTGGACCCATCTGTGCAAGTCTTTGTAGCATCCTGTTTCAGTCAACAATGCTATTGATTCAGTTTAGTGCAAACGTCCGCCATTACTATCTGGTAGTCCTCTCTATCTGATCAGGAGACGTATTCTCCACCAATGCCCCAGGTTATGTCTCCTCATACAGCCAAAAGAAAAATTCCTGTAAGTCTGCTTAGTCAGAATCCCCTTCACCCTGATGCTTCTTATCACTTTTCCATCTACTGAGTCTCCATCTGCTCCTTGCTGTAAAATTTAAATAACCATATTGCGTGACTACTAGCATCCTCCTGCCCCTCATGCAGGACTCCATGTAAATGACTCCGATAGCTATAGCCTAGGCCCTAGTATGGTTTTCCTAGACATTTTAATAAGTAGTTAATTCTTTAATTCCTAGATATGCCTTTATAAGCAGCCATGCCCTAATTTCTCTTAAACAGTGATTTCCTACCTTTCCTTTTCCTGGGCCTGACTAGAACAGCAGACACTCTAATCCAAGGAAGAGGATGTTCTTGGTGATCCTGAATCCTCCATCCTAGAACTTTAGGAGCAGTAGTCTACTTCTTCTGATGCATCATGATCCAAGAAGTAAGATGGAAAAGCAGATGATGAATGATAGATGGAGGGTAGACAGTGAAGACTCTAAAGCTCAGCTTTCATTTCTGAGGCCAGCTGGCCCAATGCTCTGTGTTTGTTCTGTGGGAAGGAGAGCAAGAGTCTATTCTACTAGATGAAGCACCAACAGCAGATCAAAGAAATTATTACAACTAAGTTTAGAGTAGTAAACCATTGAATTTATTTGGGTTACTTACTGAAACTTAGGTAAAGGGCTATTTGCCAGAGAATGAGTGACTCTAAGCAGTCATACCACTGAAAAGTCCCACAGCATCCTGGGTGATAACTGTCTTGGAATACTACTTTAAAATGTTTGAAGGTGTGTCACTACAATTGGTTTGATAAAGAGTTGAATGGCCAATAGATGGTCAGGAAATGGTTAGGCAAGACTTCTGAGAACAGAAAGGTCTCAGGGAAGAAGAGAGGAATTGCCATCTGAATGTAGAGGAAGCAAGACATGCAAGAGGAGAGGTAAAAGCCATGAGCCACATGGCAGCACGTAGATAAATAGAAATGGGTTAATTTAAGTTATAAGAGCTAATTAGAAACAGTTTAAGCTATAGGGAGAGCTTTCATAATAAGTCTCAGCATCATTGTGTGTGTGTGTGTGTGTGTGTGTGTGTGTGTGTTTGTGTGTGTGTGAGCTGGTGGCTCAAAGAAAAATCTGTCTATAGATAAGATACAAAAACTGCATCTCTGTAACTTCCTGTACAACTTGGGGAATAAGAGCTACTTACAAGATTCAGAATGTTTCTGAAACTTACAAGACTCACAAGACTACTCAATCAAGGTTGTAAAAACCATAATCAGCTCAAGTTGCAAGCTTGTCCTATAATTAGTGGATATGTGGTCTTAATTTTTTAAAATGAATTTTATTTAAATTGGAAACCATCTTATTTTATATATCAATCTAAAACCATAATCAGCTCAAGTTGCAAGCTTGTCCTATAATTAGTGGATATCTGGTCTTAATTTTTTTAAATGAATTTTATTTAAATTGGAAACAATCTTATTTTATATATCAATCACAGTTCCTTCTCCCTCCCATCT